TTCTTTATGGCTGAGTAGTACTCCATTTTATAAAAAAACCACATCTTCTTTACCCAGTTTCCAGTTGATGGGCACTTGGGTTGTTTCCAAGCTTTAGCTATTACAAACTGTGCCGCTATAAACATAGGTGCACATATATCTCTGTGGTATGCTTCTTTTAATTCTTTGGGGAAGATACCCAGCAAGGGAATAGCTGGGTCAAATGGGACCTCTAGTCCTAGTTCTTCTGAGTTCTCCATACTGATTTCCACAGTGGTTGCACCAGTCTACACTCCCAGCAACAATGGAGAAGGGTTCCTTTCTACCCACACCCCCACCAGCATTTGTTATTGGTTGATTTCATGATAGCAGCCATTCTTTCTGGGGTGAGGTGGAATTTCAGTGTTGTTTTCATCTGGATCTCTCGAGTGACCAGTGATGGTGAACATTTTTTCATATATTTATTTGCTGCTTTTACTTCTTTGAGAAATGTCTGTTCATTTCGGATGCCCATTTTTGAATTGGGTCTTTGAATTTGGGGGGTCTGATTTTTTTCAATTCTTTATATATTGAACCCAATTTGTTAAAAAAAAGATGCATACACACAAACGTAAAGCACTCAGAAAAACAAGAAGAAAAATCGAATCTAAGAACTTACGTTTGGTGGGGGGATGAAATAAAAAAGTAAGTCAGCTGATGTTACACAACTACTAAGCAGAGGAGCCACTGTATACAGCAAGCCAAAGCTATGTTCATCAAGCTGCATGCATTCACCAACATTTGTGAGGAGACCAACTTGGTAATAAACTGTCCATTCAGATACGAGTCACTGAACAAAGTGGGATGTGACTCTGTAAATGCACCCAAGTATCACCCACCTGACACTCTCCAGCATTGGTAGGACTTTTGCCTACTGCTCATGCCCATTCTCTCAGACTAACGAGACCAGATTTAGTCAACATTTATAACACAGAGAATGAAAAACAAACAAAAAAATATCAAAAAGAATGCCTCACATATGACAAGTGATAAAAAGCAAGGACGACCAAGCCATCGCCTTTAATGGGAAGACACACAAATCAAGTTTACTCTGCACTTAAGTCACTCACCCTGCATTGCCTTGCTCTATATTTTTCTTTCTAGCTCCACACGCAGAGAAGAAAGCCAGGAAATATCTGAGAAATACTACAGTAGCAGATGAATAGGCAAGTCAAAAAAGACACACTATTCTTGGGAAATCGATTTCATTAAATTACTGATCTGTCACCTAACTGATTGCTAG